TATCCACTATGGGCCTTCCACAATAGATTATGCAAATGTGGCATCCCATGGAAATCCCAACAGCGCTCACAGCCAAAGGGGTAAGAATTTGCTTCCTGCCTTGAGCCAAAATGTAATGTTGCACAAGTGCAAAGATGGGACAAAATTCCAAACGTTGAAATTTCACTTTGGAAATTCAACATTGATACTTCCCCGGCAACCCCAACCTCTGAAACCTGGCAGATTACAGAAACAACATTCGTTGGCCAAACTCAATATTTGTTTTGCCTAAAATGCCTAATTGCTACAGAATTTGTAGCTGGGGATGCTGAAAGCCATTTCAGCTCAGGGTAACAGAAATGTCAATTTTGCAGGCAAATTTGAGATGGTTGAATTTTGCTTGAGAATGCTCTCTCTCTCTCTCTCTTATACACACACACACACACACACACACACTCTCTCCAGCTTTTCTTCCCACACATATCAGGGAAATGCCCTCAAATAATGTAGGACAGCGAAGCAATTGAAATCGGGGCAGCTATGGTAGGCATAGGCCTATTAGGAAAAAAATAACTGCTTTCCCTGAGACTTTCTCACTGTGTGAGAGAGGGCACTGAAACAGGGTTGCTTCGATGCAGGTTCAGCAATTGTAAAATAATAATAATAATAAAATCCCTGCCTAATGGATTATCCTGGGTTGGCCTAGCTCTGTGCTAGTCGTCTCAAGTCTGTCATGATGTTGCAGATCAGGCCAGGTGGAAATGGCCCACAGAAGACTGACTTTGGGGTCTGTCTTTGGGGAAAGACTTATCTCTGGCACTTCAGGCTCGGCAGGGAACAGTGGGAAGAAACAGGGCTGGATTGAGACCTTTAGAGGCCCCAGGCACGAAAAATGTTTTGATGCCCACCATAGGTAATACAAGATAAAAACAATAATGAATGGCACAATAAAAATTTAAAACAAACAAAACATTTATTGCAACACATGACAAGATCTGATTCCCTTGCGTTATATTCATCTAGGTTAGCAGGATGCCTCCTGGATTAGGTAAGGAAGAGTTTTTTTAAAAAAACAACAGAAAAATGAAGGAAGACTGTATAGTGGAGTGTAAAGATGTCCAACAAAGTTCTGGTTTTTCCCATGATGACTGCTTCAATGCTTTAAAAAAAAATCCAATGTCAAATTATTTCAAAAATAACAATAATCTCACTATTATTATTTTTTTATGTCTCTGCTTTGCTGGTGTCCTAAACACATGATTAATTTGCCTATTGGGTAATCCAGTGCTGGAATGAACCCAGACTATTATAAAGTTGTGGAGCTGTCTTTCCCCCCCATCCCACATGCTGATTGCATGCCATGCTGGAGAGATGCCAAAGAATAACCAGTGCACTGGCGCTGGGTGAGAACCGGTGTAGCACTGCTCTGTCTCTAAGGGCCACCAGTTTCTCTCTTACTAGTTCTAAGTGCCATATTAGGGCAAGATCTTTATTTGGTACGTCAACCCAAAGATTATCCAGAATCAGGCTAGGTGGAGGACAGAGCAGGAGGAATGGGTGGGAGAGATTTGGCTGGTGGTCTGCATCTGCTGAAGGTCTTCAAGGCAGGCTGTGAGAGGAGGAATGCACATTACAATGAGGCTGTTTTAGATGTCTGTGCAGGTATCAGGTTATGCTGCAGAAAGGCCTACTGTGAAGAAGAAGAAGAAGAAGAAGAAGAAGAAGAAGAAGAAGAAGAAGAAGAAGAAATAAGAATTGTGGATTTCCCATCTCTGGAATCCCAAAAGTCAGCTGATGAAGAGTTCTAGAGAGCTTTCTGTTGGCCTAATGACCTAAGAATGGGTCATGCAATTTCCTTATGGGTTTTTGCTTGAAAACCAGTGAGTTGCAGAACTGGTGTCATTTCGTAATGCATTTGGATCTCTACTATTTTCTAGAACTCAGGATTGGTTGCATCATCTTTAAAAAGCTGAGGCGGGAGGGTGGGGGATCTCTGAAAAAGGCAGCGAAAAACCCACCTAAAATCAGAATAAATTCACAGCTAACCCGTACACCCAGTTCCAGCTTGCCAGCTCTAGAGAGAAGGAGCTACCTCTGAGCATCCTGGTACCACACTTTTCCCATGCTCCATGGTTTTGCATTTCAACAGGGTCTCTCTTTTCCTTGCTCACAATTTCCTGGTATTTAATACTTATGAGTATTATACCTGGATGGTGTGTGTGTGTGTTTGGGAGAATATAGAGGATCGTGAGATATCTCTGAGAGCCAGTGTGGTGTAGTGGTTAAGAGCGGTAGTCTCGTAATCTGGTGAACTGGGTTCGCATCCCTGCTCCTCCATATGCAGCTGCTGGGTGACCTTGGGCTAGTCACACTTATTTGAAGTCTCTCAGCCCCACTCACGTCACAGAGTGTTTGTTGTGGGGGAGGAAGGGAAAGGAGACTGTTAGCCGCTTTGAGACTCCTTTGGGTAGTGATAAAGTGGGATATCAAATCCAAACTCCTCCTCCTCCTCCTCCTCCTCCTCCTCCTCCTCCTCTTCTTCTCTGAGATCAGGAGGCAGCTGCAGTTGTGTGTTGTCATAAACAGCTCCCACCCATGCACCCAAATTGAATTATCAGCAGTGATTAACCAAGGTGTCTGGTGGTGAATGGGTGGCTTTGTGTGAAAATTAGCTTGAGTTCAGCAGTATTGACCTTAGAGCACATAACCAAGCTGAAAGATAATACATACATAGGGGGAAAGAGAAGGAGTGAGAGAGCTGGTTTTTAATGGACTCCCTTATACATACTGGGTATTTGTTTTACAAACTTATGAGTTCTTACAGAATTGCAGCCCATGGAGGTTTCCAAGAAAAAGCAAGGTAGCTGATAGGGATGGGCAAATTTGTCACGTTCAGCCCTCTCAGTTTCTTATTTTTCTACGTTTTTCTATCAGTTTGCATTAAAAAAGAAGCCCTCATAAAAAAATCACCAGTATTTTAGTTTGAATTTCTTCTAATGTACACATTTTTTTTTTGCAAATCATTTCACATAGTATCATGCATTTTTGTATGCTATTTTCATTATATATGCATTTTATATGCACTTTCCCCTTATACATGGATTTCATAATCTGACAGTTGTCTTTCCCCAGGGCACCTTGAGAACTGTATTTTTGAGAGGGGTATTGGGTTAGGCTTGTAGGAACAAAAAAGTATTTGTACCCCCAGCAAACCTACATTTCCCTGGATTCTTTGAGGGAAATAATGTCTGTTACATGAGTATAAAGCTGATGCTTTATTGGTAGAGCTCAGCCCTGTCTCAGTGCATAGAATGGCCCACCAGATCCCTTCTGTGCTACTCAAAACACATCCTGTGCTCTGAAGCAGCTCCTCCCTGGCTGGTCCAACTGGGTAGAAGCCATCTAAAGTGGTTTCTTGGGGGTGGCGTACACAATACTTTCAGGGGCCACAAATGAGACAAGGTATGAACCCTTTGCCATGTCACAGAAGGTCCACTGGAACGAAAGACTTGGATGGTGCAATGATCACAAATACAGTGAAATTCAGAAAACCAGGCTGGCGAGAAGACTGTGGCATTGTGGCAACTCTCGCCCTTCCAGCATTATCTCTCTCTGTGTGTCTATTGAAAATGCAAATGGGGGAATTCAACCATGCAGCCAGCCCAGTCCCAATCCCCATGGCATGGTCCCTACTGTGGGGAAGCAAGGACATCAGGACAGGCGTGTAGAGCTATGCAGGCTGGGTTCTCTCCCCCTGCCCCATTTCTCCTTCCTCCTCTTTTCTAACCCACTCTCTCTCTCTCCCTTCCCTTTCCATATTTCACAGTCCCTGCTTCCTGCATAAAGCCTGGAGGTCTCCAGAGACCCCAGCCAGATGTTCTCTGCAGAGCAGCACATTGCTTCGCTAATGAAATATTCATAGAGCCTCGCTGCCTTTTGACATGAAAGCCTTCTGCAGCTTCCCAAACGATGGAGACCGGCCCTGCGCAGGCTGCATTCCGATAAAGGTGCAGGTCCCAAATGCTTCTTCCAATGCTGCTGCCACCAGCTCCTGGTTTTTTAGCAGGGAGCAGACCACAAGCCCATGCAGGCTGGTGCTGCCGACTGCTTTGGCATGGAGGGCCTCCTTCCCTCCACTGCCTCCCCCCGTTCTGACCTTGGCACCAACCAGCCACACACCATCCCAGGGCAGGCAGCCATTACCTCTGGGTGAACAGCTTGTCAGTCAGCTCTACCATATACCAGCTTGCCCTGTGGCACTTGGCACATGCAGATAGGCTGCTAACTTTGGGTTTGGTGGCCTGGTTAGACGTTTTGTGCTTTGCTGATGGGCAGATGTATCAATCCAAGTGCTTATAGGGTTGTGTCTGGCCCACGAAAAGGAACAGCAGGGGAAACATTAGATTCAGTTCACATCAAAGGCAAACTTACCTAATGTGCAGATTGGAACGTAGCTATCCTTTGAAATTCGCATTTACTTGAATTTTGCAGTATAGTTCTCCAGCTAAGTAATGTGTACAAAAACACATATGCTAGGATAAAGTGTGAATAGTAGTGCATATGTGTGGGGGGGGGTTGGACCTACAAATATACATTATATTAGGGGGGAATGCTTTCCAAAAATTAGTGTATTGGGCAAAATTGCACATACAAATGTGTACTGTAGGATGAATTTTCATGAGAATTTAATATTTTCCTCCTCCCTGCAAACTGATGTGGAAATATGGGGAACTGAAATTAAGTCTGGAAAAAATGAGAAACTGAAAGAAACCTAAATTGACTTATTCACTCATCCCTAACCACAAAACAAAGAGCGAGTGAGACATCAGTACTGGCTCCTGGTAGTCGATCACTTGATGAAGATGTTGACCCAGCAAATGCCACGCTAAGGATCGTTAGGAAAGGGACTGATAATAAAATTGTCAATATTGTATTGCTGTTCTGCAAATCTGTGGCTAGACCTCACTTGAAATACTGTGTGCCGTTGTGGTCACCTCAACGCAAAAAAGGAGGCGTAGAGAGGCTTCTAGTAGCTCAGTTGCTTAGAGCATGGTGCTGGTAACAGCAAGGTTGCAGGTCCAATCCCTGTACAGGCTTGCTGCATATTCCTTCATTGCAGGGAGTTGGACTGGGTGATCCTTGGGATCCTTTCCAAATCTACAATTCTATGATCAGAGCTGGGAAAGGTTCAGAAAAAGCAAATAACCCAGAACTGGCCCTACTAAACACCTTCCAAGATAATAATGCCCACTTACGATTGTGGGGAGCAAGAGACCTTCTGTGGATCACCTTTGCCTGGAAACTGAGAATCCTCACCTTCTGCTGACATCTTTGGGTGCTCTACACAATGCAAGGACAGCAACACAGTAGAAGTGGGTCTCTTCCAGGAAGACTTGGGAGCCCCAGAAGTTCCTGAATCTGCTGCAGTCTGGAGCTATCCCTGATTTTATTACAGTAGCAGGCAACTTCTGTTTTTCAACTTGTTTTCTCCCCTTGGACAACTCAAAGCCTTGACCAACGTGAGCTGATAGTAACTGTGTTACAGACTAAGCTCTGTGTTGACATAGAAGATCCAATATGGGATTGCTTACTTAGAAGCTGCCTTGATGGGCTCCAGTGCAGAAGCAGTGTGTGTGTGTGTGTGTGTGTGTGTGCGCGCGCACGCGCGTGCACATGCATTTTAAATCCTTTCTCCTTTTCACTATTTTCCTGATCCAAATTGCCCACCCCCCAGCAAAGCGACTACAAGTCTCACTGAAGGTGTGTGTGAAAATACCAGTTTCCCACCCACCATGCTAGTAGTCACTTCAAGGGATGATATAGATCAAGAAAATGGTGCTGGGGGGGAGAGTTAACCACCATCACCCTCTGTGACATGTGGCGCTGCTTGCAGGCTTCAGGTGATAGCCTCTGTCTTGAAGGCATGTGGGAGAGCTAAGAAGAAGCAAGGAGGGGAAGAGAAAACTATATTGCTTATCTATTTACGTTCTTTAGATGCCGCTTTTCAGGTGGACCTCACAAAGTGGTTTGCATAATATTATTACACCAACACACATCATTTTAAACAAAAGTTGTGAAATAATGGGAAATACAAGTGATATGTTTAGAAAAAAGCGATTACTGCTTCTTCTGAGCCCCACCTCAGGCCAAGCTGGGCCTCCAGACATGCCTGTGATTACAATTGCGGTGATAGTTCCTCAAGCTTTTTTCTCCTCCACTTTTATATTAGGTGAGATTATTGCTCCAGCGAGACTGTCCTTCCTTTACCTACTTACCTGGTAATAAATCCCACCAAACTCAGTTGGGCTGCCTTCTGAGATAGTTCACAGGCAAGGTTCATAGCTCAGTGGTACATATAGCAGCTGCTTTGTACACAGAAGGTTCAATCCTTGGCATCTCCAAGTAGGAGAGACACTCATCTGAAACCTTGGAGAGCCACTGCCAGTCACTGTTGATTGTATCACCTAAGTTCTAGTCAGGCCTCTTGAAATGGCTAATTTAGGTCAATTAATTTCAACAGGCAGGGCTGCCCCAAGACATTTTGGCACCTGAGGCGAACCACCCTCTTGCCAGGGAAGAGGAGGGGAGCGAAGAGCTACATCAGGAACAACAGGAGGGAATAATGGTCAACATTGGGAGCAGGGGGTGGGAGGAGACCAGCAGGGCCTCCTAGTCACCGAAAGCCCACTGCAAAGGCAGCATTGGGGCAGGGGCTGCCAAGGAGTGCCAGATCTGGCCTCCAAGGAGTGTGTGGCAGCTGCTGTTGGCGCCACCTTGAGCTCCTTGGAGAAAAAGGTGGGGAATAAATGCAATAAAAATAAAAATGAATACCAAGCGAGATGGACCACTCAGTATAAGGAAGTTTCCTTTGCTGCAAGCCACAGACAGGACTGCACTGGTAGTCCAGTGTTGCCCACTGTGACCTTGCATCAGGCAGCTCTCAGACAGAGAGAGGTCCTTTCTCTTTTGCCTGCTGCTCCCTGACCCCTTTTAACTGGAGATGTACAAGCTGAGCTTGAGACTTTACGCATGCAAAGACAGGAGCTGCAATCCTTCCTCCTTACACCACACCCCGAACCCCTTTTGTCTCATTGCCCAATCCAGCCCGTTGCTTTTCAGTCTTTCCTGCTTTCTCTAGGTTTCCTAGTTTTCATTTTAAAAAGTAAATCTTTGCCCCAGAGAACCAGCTGAATTCCTGCCTGCCGCTCCATCCAAGGCAGCGGGGGCCCTGCCGGTTGGATTCCTGCACTGAGTCCATGAGGATGCAAGCCAGGTCAGCCTCCAGGGACCCACTAACCCTCTTATAAGCAGGGGCTGTTTTGAACCCACCTACTCAAAATAATATTCCTCCCACCATCACCCCTGAAACAAACAAAAAAACGGAGCCAGACCTAAGGGAATTGGCTGGCTCTGAGGAGTGGCTGGCTAATCAAAACATATGGCACATTGCTGGGAGACGCTCCGCAACTTGCTGGTGGTGTGAAAGGGAAATTAGCATAGCAGCAGGCCTGTGAAGAGCCCCAGCGTGGATGCCAAGGCAAGCTGCCCAGCCAGGATCAAGGCAATCCGCTGGCTGGTGCCTGCTTCATATAGAGTGCTGACCTAGAGGGTCATGAAGCTAAGCCAAGAGAACGGAAGGTCCACGACTGAGCTAAATCCGAGGTCTCCATCATGGTGTCCTTGGTGCCCACCTAGACTCCATGTCCCTCTCAGTTTTTAATTGTAGAAGCAAGGGGGTGTTGTGGCTTTTTCTTTGGTGGGAGGGTTGCCTGATTGTGGGGAGAGGGGTGGCCTGCATTTTGTCTGTGTTTTGTTTGTTTTGGTGTGTGTGTGTGTGTGTGTGTGTGTGCGCGCGCGCGCGTGCATGCACGTGTGTGTGTGCTGCCTGGCTCTTTTTTTTTTTAAAGTAATATTTATTAAAAGTTTAAGAATTACAGAAAAAAGAAGAAAGAAAAATAAAAAATATAACAATAAAAAAGAAAAAGAACAATAACAAAACATATCGATACAGCAAAAAAGACAGACAAAAAAGAAACTAAAACACACATCCAATATTCCATGTCTTTACCTTTCCTTTCCTTGTTTCATCGACCTCCTCACACCTCCCTTTTTTTGTATTCTAATTCAATTCACTATGTCAGCAAGTTCTTCCCATCTTTCTCAATTTTTATTCTATAGTTTATCTTAACGGTCTAACCTTAAATTTTTTCAATTTAACCCATTATCAATCAACTTTTACTTAATTCTTTGTTGCATTTCTACTAAAACCATGTAACTTCATTCCCGCATCCTTCTAACACTCATTAATTTTACAATGTTTCTGTAAGTATACTTTGAATTTTTTCCAATCTTCTTCCACCGACTCTTCTTCCTGGTCTCGAATTCTGCTAGTCATTTCCGCCAGTTCCATGTAGTTCATCAGCTTCATCTGCCATTCTTCCCTGGTGGGTAGGTCTTGTGTCTTCCAAGACTTTGCAATGAGTATTCTTGCTGCTGTTGTAGCGTACATAAAGAAAGTTCTCTCTTTCTTTGGCACCAATTGGCCGACCATGCCCAGGAGAAAGGCCTCTGGTTTCTTCCGGAAGGTATATTTATATACCTTTTTCATTTCATTATAGATCATCTCCCAGAATGCCTTAATCTTTGGGCATGTCCACCAAAGGTGAAAGAATGTACCTTCAGTTTCATTACATTTCCAACATTTATTATCAGGCAAATGATAGATTTTTGCAAGCTTGACTGGTGTTATGTACCACCTATAAATCATTTTCATTAAATTCTCTTTTAAGGCATTGCATGCCGTAAACTTCATACCAGTGGTCCATAACTGTTCCCAGTCAGCCATCATAATGTTATGTCCAACATCTTGTGCCCATTTAATCATAGCAGATTTCACCATTTCATCTTGAGTATTCCATTTCAACAGCAAGTTATACATTCTTGACAAATTCTTAACTTTAGGGTCTAACAATTCTGTTTCCAACTTTGATTTTTCCATCTGGAAGCCAATTTTTTTATCCGAATTATACGCCTCCATTATTTGATAATAATGGAGCCAATCTCGTACTCTGTTTTTTAATTTTTCAAAACTCTGCAATTTTAATCTGTCACCCTCTTGTTCCAAAATTTCCCAATACTTCAGCCATTTGGCCTCCATATTGAGTTTTTTCTGAGCCTTTGCTTCCATTGGTGACAACCATCTTGGGGTTTTATTTTCTAACAAGTCCTTATATCTTATCCAGACATTAAACAGTGCTTTTCTTACAATATGGTTTTTGAACGCTTTATGTGCTTTAACCTTATCATACCACAAATATGCATGCCAACCAAATACATTATTGAAACCTTCCAAATCCAAAACATCCATGTTTTCAAGAAGCATCCATTCTCTCAGCCAACAAAAAGCGGCTGATTCATAATAAAGTTTTAAGTCTGGCAGGGCAAATCCACCTCTTTCTTTAGCCTGGCTCTTTTTTTAAGCAGAGAGATATGTGTACCATCTGTTTTCTTCTGTGAAATGGGTATCTGTGACAATTTTGTCTGTGAAGTGGGGTCTGTAACAGTTTCCTAGACTCCACATGTGCCCCCAGCATGAAAAGGGCCATTTAGCCCAGCACCCTGTTCTCACAGTGGCCAACCAGGTGCCTCTGGGGAGCCCGCAAGGGTGACCTAAATGCAACAGTTGTGTTCTCCACACTTGTGAATCCCAGCAGCTAGCTCACTGTCTCTGCAAGGGAACATAACAAGGGCCTGCTGGATCAAGCCAAAGGCCCATCTAGTTCAGTATGCTGTTCTCACAGCGATCAGCCAGGGGCCTGTGGGACTCAGGTAAGCAGGAGCTGAGCAAAAGAGCAGTCTTCTCTCTTGCGGCTTCCAGCAACTGGTAGGCAGAAGGATGTCTCTGACGTGAAGACAGAGCATAGCCAACATGGCTAGTAGCCATTGATGGCCTTCTCCGCCTCCATGAATTTTTCCAGTCCTCTTTTAAAGCCATCCAAATTGGAGGCCATCACTGCCTCCTGTGGGAGGTGATAGTTTAACTTTGTTTTCTGTCCTGAACCTTCCAACATTCAGCTTTACTGAATTATCTACAATTT